TCATTTTGGTATCGTTTTTGGGTCATTTTTGGGTCATTTTTGGGGTCATTTTGGGGTAATTTTGGGATAATTTTGAAATAATTTTTAGGATCATTTTGGGGTGATTTTGGGGGTTTTTGGGGTCTCACCGAGCTGATCCCGATACCCTCTGAGGACGCTGTTTGGGGTCATTTTTGGGGTGATTTTTGGGTCATTTCGGGTCATTTTTGGGAGTTTTTGTGTCATTTTTGGTTCATTCTTGGGGTAATTTTAGGACAATTTTTTTGAGAATTTTGGGATAATTTCAGGGTAATTTTGAAATAATTTTGGGATAATTTTGGGGTGATTTTGGGTGTTTTTGGGGTCTCACCGAGCCGATCCCGATACCCTCTGAGGACGCTGTTCCTCCTGAGCTGTCCCGGGCTCAGCGAACGCCACTGCAGCTTCATCCGGAAATAATCGTCCCTAAAAAACCCCAAAATGGGGTGAAATCACCCCAAAATCGATCCCGGGACCTCAAAATACCACAAAATCATCCCTAAAATACCCAAAATGGGGTGAAATCACCCCAAAATCGACCCTGGGACCCTAAAATGTCACAAAATCATCCCTAAAAATACCCAAAATGGGGTGAAATCACCCCAAAATCCACTCTGGGACCTCAAAATACCACAAAATCGTCCCTAAAAATACCCAAAATGGGGTGAAATCACCCCAAAATCGATCCTGGGAGCCCAAAATTGACTCTGGGACCCCAAATACCCAAAAATAATCCCCAAAATACCCCAAAATGGTCCCTAAAAACCCCAAAATTGGCTGAAATCACCCCAAAATCGATCCTGGGACCCCAAAATACCCCAAAATCATCCCTAAAATATCCACAATGGGATGAAATCAGCCCAAAATCGATCCTGGGACCCAAAAATATCCCAAAATAACCCCAAAATTGACTCTGGGACCCCAAAATGTCCCAAAATAACCCCAAAAATATCCAAATTGGGGTGAAGTCACCCCAAAATTGATCCTGGGAGCCCAAAATACCCCAAAATTGTCCCTAAAAACCCAAAATTGGAGGAAATCACCTCAAAATCGATCCTAGGAGCCCAAAATATTCCAAAATAACCCCAAAATCCACTCGGGGACCCCAAAATATCCCAAAATCATCCCTAAAAA